CAAAGCCTACTGCGGATATAGTCCTCGTTGTGTCCGGTGCGGTGATGACCATTCTTCATCTGCCTGTCCAAATTCACGTCAAGACCCAATGCGATGCGCCCTCTGCACAGGTAACCACCCTGCAAACTACAGGGGATGCACAGTTTACAAAAACCTCCAGCAACGTAAGAAAACCAACCTAAATAATCAAAAATTACATGTAAACTCTAGTCATAAGCCTAACAATGTACAAGATAGCCACCCACGCAATACCACTTCCAACAATCCTCCTCCTAGCCAACCTCAAACGTATGCTCAGGCAACTCAAGGTCAACATCCACAATCTAATATTCCTCTGCCTACTCCCGATATTAATTCGCTAATGGCAAGCTTTGTAAGCGAGCTTAAAACTCTCATCAATCCATTAATCTCACTACTTACTCAGGTAATCTCAAGCTTATTGACAAAAAAAAATGAATAATTCTGCTACAAATAAGTCCCTCCTAGTTTTACAATTTAATGTTAATGGTCTTAAAAACCATGTAAATATTTTACAAAATGTATTATATGATAAACGTATCGACATCGCCCTTATCACAGAAACACACTTCACTAAATATACACATATCTTCATACCTGGATACCAACTAATTAAAGCAAATCACCCTGATCATCTAACCTAATCCTAATAAGTTATAATAATCACATAATAAACAAGCTAAGTACTACCGCTGGGTGGCTTCTTACTCACGTAACCCCTTAATGCTTTGTTACCCCTATCTCACATATACTTATTGTGCTTATCTGTATAGATTGTATATTTCTTGTAAAAATAAAAAAAAAAAAAAATATATCTGTACAAAGTATAAATATCTGTGATGGTATTACCACGGTTTAAGATATACCTTATATATACCGTATATCTTAAACCGTGGGTATTACACTATTATCTTTATTATGATAAGTATCTCAGCTATCTTAGCATAGCTATTTTTAGTATAAAGGTATTTCATAAAAATATAGGTACCTAATTACACATTATAATTTGTATTATTGTAATTCTAAGTTAATTTATTTTTACATCTGCAACATACCTTCCTTTGTAAATCATTACACATCATAACATAGATATAGCCCATACATATAGGTAGTAATAGTTTGAATGTGTCTATTATTTATTTTAGTACTAAAACCATTAAGTGTTGAAATAAGACACGGGTAAACAAGTTAACTTCAATTAATATAAAATCCAGCATAAAAACACAAATACGTCGGGAAAACGTTAATTCAAGTTCAACTAGTCACATAGGCAGCGGATATTACAAAATAGCTGACTAAATAGACTGATTTAATTATTTAATACTAATATTATTTATTAATATACTATATCGTACATTCTACCGCTAAAATTAATAATAAAAGAATAGCAGTGGACGACTGTATAGTACTGTACGATATAGTCTTATATAATAAAATAATAATAATATATAGGTAGTAGGTACTACACGTGCCTTGTCACTGTCTTCGGTCGGATGGTCAAATTGTATGACGTTATAATATACCTCTAACCTAGTAATCGATATAATAAGTACTTTGGGGAAGTTACTTATTTTTGATAATTAAATTAAATTACTAATTACTAACCCAAATTGTAACTAAATTATTTTTAAGTTACTTTTTTTTTTATTTGGTTAAGTTACATTACTTTTGACTTTTGAGTTTAAAAAGTAACTCAATTACAAATTATAATAGAAGATACTTTATTTTTCAAAAAGATCACTGGAGATTTATAATCATGTTGTAAATACGACAATACATAAACTAAATAGGTAATGATAATCAACAATATGAAATTATTAATAGATACTCATTTTGCTACACTATTATCATAATTATTTTATTTTTTTATTGAACCTAAGCCGGCTACTATGGCCATTAGCTGTTGTAAGTGATTATGAACTGAGGTTGGTAAGGTTGGTATGGTAAGATGTTACGGTTATTACGTTAGATAAGTAAACACGTGTATGTGTGGCAAGGTTTTTACTACTACGAACCCGGGTGGTCATCCATCCGGGAACTAGTAGCAGCGGCCGTTACTTACTCTCAGTCGTATTGCGTGACCGGTAGCAGCCAAGCCACACTTGTATTATTATTATATATGATATATTATTATATTATACTAGCTGATCTCGTGTACTTTGTTACCCGTTAAATAAACCAACTCTATGTGACTCAAACTTTGTTCAATTCGTTATTTAATATTCGGTGTATGGTTTCAAAATTAATCTTAACTTTTCCGTTGCCAGGAATAAAAATTCTGATTCGCTGCAGTACATTATCGGGTAGGCAATCTACCTGCGGTAGATCGCGGACACCGTGCTGTATGTACGTTAGTGTATTATTTAACTCTAAAGTATCAAAGTTATACCAAAATAACTATAGAAACCACAGATTAGGACTAATTGTACATCGATTTTTATATACCTATATAGATTTCTCCTATAACCCATAGCAACTATTTGTAAACAAAATGAAACAGTGATTAAATATAAAAAATAAAATAAAAATATCAACGGCAACTCTATAAAAAAAAAAATTGTCGTAGGTTAAAAAAAATCCCTGTATGAGCCACCCTTTAAAATAAAGATAGGGGTGTGAAAAATAGTTTACATCACTCTCTGAGACCTACTTAGTGTACACAACAACTTTCATGAAAATCGGTCCAGCCGTTTCGGAGGAGTTTGGCAACAAACTTTGTGACACGAAATTTTTATATATTAGATAGGTATATTTATTGATAGTTCCAAAAATTCTGTATGCGCACGATATAACACGATGAGTAAGATAAAAATTCCATTCTAAAATTAACACTTTATTATTATAGTCAAATGACAAATAGTCAATTGCTATAACAAAAATATTACAGTTTGAACAATTTTACTTATAAATTATATGATATATTTTGATATTTACACACAATATTATCAATACGTTCTAAAAATGTATTAAACCGAAAAAAAGTAACGAGTATTTTAATGATGATTATTACAAAAAAGTAACTTAAATTACATATAAATTACTTACAATAAAATGTAATCGAATTACCATCAAATTACTTATAAAGTAATTTCGTTACAGTAACTTGTAACTTAACTTAAGTTACTCCCCAACACTGAATTAAAAGTAGGTTAAAGTCGATGAATTTTTCATATGTTTTAGACCAATAAACGGTGGTAAACCATAATGGATTAAATAATAGACCAAATACACATAAATTGCCTTTAGACAATAGAATTGCACCCTTTAGACTATAATATGGGCCAGTGGCGTAGTTAGGAATTTATCTTAAGGGGATAGACATTTTTTAACACAAAATACTAAATAGGTACCTACTAAATAAATAAAATAAATACCTACAATGTTGAATGGCGAGTGGTAACTAATTGGTGCCTACTATTTTATCAAAAATCCTAAAGGTAATATAGAGGTATACAAAAACACAAAATTATTAAATTTTGCTTTAAGATTCTACATAATTTAGTAGGTATATCTGTAAAATATTATAATATATTTATATAAATTTACTTAGGCTAACTGACATTTTTTTTTTAAGCATACGTATTTCAACGATGACCAAATCAGCAATATATTTCTGTTTTACCGGACATAGTTTTTTTTTTTCAATTTCTTTGTTTTAACTAGGTACATATAATTTTTATATTTTTAATTATTATCATTAAAAATGAATGCGGCCCGCGAGTAATTTTCAAAAATTACATTTGACCCTTTCTAAAATCCTAGTGAGGACTGCTGCTGTAAAGGAAGTCATAATGTGGCGGTCAAACTTAGTTTTGAAGTTTTGGATATTTGAAGTCCGAGACCAATCCAAGGTGATTTTAAATAAGAAGTCGAGAGATGTTTTCGATTTGAATTGTCCGAGCGAGTGCAACTAGTAACGTAGGGTGTACATATATTATGAAAATACTATATTATAATATCTTTTATATATATAAAATTCTCGTGCCACATAGTTTGTCTCGATACTCCTCCGAAAAAGGCTTGACCGATTTTTATGAAATTTTTTATGCATATTCAGTAGGTATGAGAATCGGCTAACATCTGTTTTACATACCCCTAAGTGATAAGGGTTGTCCAGAAAAAAATAATAGAAGTGCTCAAACAGGGATTTTTATTATTATTATTATTATTATTTTTATTTATTTGTTTATAAATGCTATTGGTTATATATATATAAAAAAAAAAATAATAATAGTGTATTATATTATATTGGTTTCGGAGGAGTATCGAGACAAACACTGTGACATGAGAATTTTATATATATAAAGATAATAGTGTATTATATATTGGTTGCTATTGGTTAATCGGGCATGTTTGTTGATTAGTATTATAATTTTTATCAATGTATATATCTATGGCATTAAAAGTTACGTTTTACGACAAATGTATTACTTAATAATAATGTCTTAATGTATTATCTCACAATGTCCGTGATCCGACGTAGTCGGGTTGCCTACCAGGGTGGCTGAATTGCACTTACTGCTGTGAGTTACATCCAAAAAGATTTAAACAAACACAAATTTTTAAGGGCAACGAGGTGCAAGGGATAAGCTAGAATTTATATATAAATAAGCTATAACTTTTAAATTACAATAAAATAACTAAAATCGTTATTCTTGGTTCTAATATGTAGTTTCGTCCATTTTTGAATTTAAAATGTCTATAAACAATAATTGTGATTTTATATTTTTTAAATTTTTTGGTTACGGTATGAACTATTTATGAGAATCTTTGTTTTAAATGTTCAATCCTTAGTTATAAAAACTGAACATTTTATAATTTTTTAATTACAATGATTGATAATTTTCGAGATTTTGATCCATTTTGTCAAAATTCGAATTAAAGGCTTATAAAAAAATTGTGCATATGTGTTTTTAGTATTTTTTATCTGCCTTTGAAACAATATATTAGGACCCTTCTATTAAATTTTCGAGTATTTTTACCCAACAAATAAAATGTTATTGATATTTATAGAAAAAAAACCTAAAAAAGTGGAAACTGAAAATATTCGTAAGTAGCTCAAAATAAGTCAAAATATTTTGAAAATGTTGTGGTATGTATAAAATGCTTATTTAAATATTTAGTCAAAATTTTATGGGTCTACCGTAATTTCTTTTAGAGTTACAGCAAAAACCAAAATCGATTTTGTCGAAAATCAATGTTGCGTATAAATTCCCGTTTTATCCTTAATTTTCCATTCGTTTTTCATGGTACTTTTATGATATATTTACCTATGGTATCAAAGTAATATTATATAATATTCATATTACTTGAGGGTGACAAATGTATAAGCTGAATTATACAAATTGGTAAAAACATGTCTATAAATCAATAGATTCATAGGTAACATTTAACAGCAAGGTGCAAGTTTCAAAATCGCAAGCCAGTCATCCTTCAAAAATTCTGCAATTATAATAAAATTAGCATTACAAGTGGCCGAGCCAAGTGGTTACATTGTTTGCGAAAACAGCAACTTCCCACCAGCTGTCCATATCAAAGGAGCCGACATTGTATAAACAGAGGCTATGAACACACTAACACAGCATAATCAGATGTACCTGAGCCTTTGAGATAAGAGCAACTTCACGTCACTCAGTCGTATATACACTATTACGACTACTGTACAAATAATATTATTGTATTGTTTTAGTTTGACAGATAAAAGGATTTGTGTTAAAAGCCATAAAAAATAAGTAAAATAAATTATATCATTGAAAATAAACTATTATTTCATTTTACTGTTGAAATTGACTTCAACTTCATTCAAAACTAACTTCTTTTGGATCGCTGATGTTTCACAAACAATATGAATCTACTTAAAATCCTAAATATACTATATTATATACTAAATTGAAAATGTGTTGTTTCATAATGTTAAGCAAAATGTTTTCATCATACAGTAACTATCATCAAATATTCAGATCTAATATTAATTAAAAACAGACTGAGAAAAGAAAATTATTGTGAAAATAAAAAACAAAGGCTAGTTTAATACAAGAACATCTACTACTGATTAATTCTTTTCTTGGACCTAAGGCTAATTATTTGTAAAATTATGAATGTATATAAAGTAATAAATTCATATATTATGTGAATTATATAGTATTTTTATAGAACATCATCAAACCAGGACAATTGCAAACTAAGATTTAAGTTTCCAAACTTCTTAAAATTTAGTTTAATACAATAAAGGTCTTTCTCACTCCTTATTGCCTATGTCAAACCAGGCCAGTAGCTTCTGCATGCAAACAACGAAATGTATGAATACATAATGCCATAATATAAATAAATTACATAATATATACCTACCTATTGTGTGCAATTTTCGTCAAAACTCAAATTTGATCAATTTAATTTATTACTTAATACTTAAAAGTTAAAACTCAAATTATAAATTTATTAACTTTGATAATGATAATAACATTTTTATTTAACTAACATGGTTACTGGTTACTAGTGAGACATTTTGATCAAAGGATGACAAATAGATCCCGAGACAACTAGATCCATGTTGTTACCATACATATGGTTGTGATCTCCATGACCCGGGTCCTATTTGTTCATACACCATTTTTGTTGTCGCATGACAGCAACTTGCCAGTTGTGAGTCGTACAACGATTTCTATCCGAGTCGCCGTGGTCAGGAGGAGCGAAACGAAAACAGTATCAATTGATTCACATCATATTATATTTAAAACAATATAAACCGAAAAGTACCGAAAGTTCAAAATATTATAGTAATACCTATATCATGATTGGATGTATTTTTCAACAATTTACCTACGATAATGGCGCAAACTAAAAGTATATTGCTCATAAGTTCATTTATTTTAAAGTACAACTTACTATTACAACAACTAATTACTTTTATAGTTATAAGAATATTCAATAGTACAATGCAGTAAAATCTGGAGAGTGGTGAGCGGTCTTATCAATTTTCCACTGAGATTACTATTAAGTTGCCTATATTTAACTCCTTGAAAACGGATAATAATTCCCGCCATTGTTTAAATAACAATTATTATAAACATAGTTTGTTTAATCGATCTTGATATCTTCCTGGCCACCTATCCACAGTTAACATGGATAATTAACCAATACAAACATTTCAAAAATAACCAGAATAAAATCGAAGAAGCTCTCCATTATAAAATCGGTGAAAAACATCTAAAACCATCCCAACCACAAACCACTTTTTCCTAGAAGAGCAATCAGACGACTAATGACATAAGAACATTCTTCTTAGTTTATTTATGTGTATTGTATTTATTGTAAATTTATAACTTTATAAACACATTTGATATGTTGAAAATATTAGTACGCTTAATTGAAAAAAAAAAAAAATTAAAGTACAATAGATTTCAACATATTGTAATTATTTTCTTATTAGAATAATTTTTACTGTCCAATTATTATTTATTTATTAATACTATAGTATATTACGAATATCATTAACTAGTAATCATTTAACGCAGCACACTTAGTACTTACTATTTAAACTGATTAAAATAATTAGTTGCTACTCTTCGTAGACCACTATAATTGTATGGATTTGTTTCAATGCGCATTGAAATAACAAGAATTAAGTGAGTATTGGGTGTAAATAGATGGTTTTTTTTTATTCACGATAGACTAACATGTATTGATTATTTCATTCAATTGATGAAATTAAATTAATTTTGATGCACTTTAACGGTTGCAGATATACGTGATTAATTACATTTTATTGTTAGTTATAAACCAAGGCAGTAAGCATATTTAGAAATATTGTCAAAGTCATACAAATTTGAAAGTTATAATGTTTAAAAATTCATAATATTTCTCGATTCAATTTAATATAATAAATTTCACGATCAATTTATTCGTCCTCTGAATAGTCGATGGCCGTCTGGTTATATGAAAAAAGAAAACATCGCCGTAAACCTGATGATGATCACAAATTCTAAGACTAAAAATCAAATAAAGCACAAAATTCGTATACGGCAACACCATCTAGTAAATGTAGTAAACGCGGTTGCTGAATATCGTGGTTCTTCGTAGATTCTACGACCAGAGTTCGTAAAGTCGGCCGTAGATACCGTTGCCTTTATAGTTTATTGTAGCTGTTGATTTATAATATATATTATATCAACAAGTTATCGGGACATGGGTCCATATACATAATACCTATAGGCTATAGATCTAAATAGAGATCATTAATATCAAGGCTCTATATATCTAAACATCGACCGAGTATAATAAATCGAAAAGACTTTCTTGCACCTTCCATTGATGTCAATATTACCATTGACTATAAATACATAGAAGTTATTACTTATTAATAAAAATTGCATAGCTTCAAGTTAACATTTTCTAATTCAAAAATAGGCAAATAATTAATATACTTTTAATTTGTAACCGTTGGGTACGTAAGGTGTATTATTAATTCCTATATACACAATTACATTTCCAAAATATTCAGAAAAATTGTAAGCCACCTTATACCATCTCATACTCACATAATGCTAAGGCACGTCAGTGTTGACGACATTTACGATTTACTGATAATTAATTATGTATGCTTAAAATATTATAATTTTTTTTTTTTTCATGGTACAGCTTCAATTCCCGGGGTCATTCGATTGGAAAATATTATATTATTCATTAATATAATATTATTATAATAAATATTATTAATAAAGGCGGTGTTTTTGTCAAAAATTAGTTCGACATACATACATAATATACCGAATTACTAATATAAAATATCCTCATAGAAATTATAAAGGCTTAGTACAATTCCGCTCAAAACCGTATTGAGCTAGTTTTCAACAGCAACACTTGCTAAAACCCACACATCTTGCACTCGTTACACTCTTCGCGAATGGCTATACGATATTCAATATTTAATTTGGCCAGCACTGTTAACTTGAGGTGAGTTAATACTAAAAGCCGTTCATCGCTTTACGCCTGTTCTCTTTACACCTCATTGGCTTTGTACGATGTTAATAATTACTACGAAAAAAGTTATTCTAGGTATAGAATATATAGACAAATAATAAAAAAAAATCAGCATTAAAGTAAAATAATTTTAGTGGGAAATTTATTTACTTTCAGAGGGGCTCTTTTTGTCCCCTGCTAAGGGTATAGCCATACTTTACCTAATTTTTATATTGTAATTTGTAGTTATATGATATGAATTTTTTTTATGATTATGAATATTAATACATTTTAATATTTTTCTAAAAAAAAACATTATTCCACTGACATCACTTTTTGGAATTTGAGATTGCCATGTCTAACCACGAACATATTTTGCTTGCTTGCTATTGTTTGAATTAATTTGATAAGTTTTTAGAATTTGTTTGATATTCCTACAGGAGTTATTCAAATATTTGTAATTCGGAGCTACAGAAATGATTTTTCAGCATCTCGGATACGACAAATTGCAACTGTAATTTGTTTTTTATGACATATTTTAGATCACTATTAATTGAAATTGAATAATGGTTTTCAAAATTATTTTGATGTTTTTACAGAAGTTATTACTTATTATTAATAACTATATTATGACGGCCATTGAACCTGCGTATACCGACAAAGTATCCCAAAAATGAAAATTGTTCTTCCATAGCATGGCCATTATTTGCGCATGCTGATTTTGTCACAGTGGCGTAGCTAGGATTTTTTTCGGGAGGGGGGGGGGCTGATCAATTTTTTACACAGCGGTGGTTTAGTTTTTGATCGAATACCATAGACCATTAAAATAATTTTTAAATTTTATTAACATTTCGGGGGGGGGGGCCTCAGCCTCCCCCCTGTCTACGCCACTGTTTTGTCATTATAAACTGCTGATATCACTCAGTATAGGTACATACAACTATACAAGTTCGGTTACGTCTGACCTATCAATTTATTCTTCTCTACCGATTATTATTTATTATCTGTCGAGAATTGACGGTACCTATTTGGCTATATGCCAGCACATAGTGATATATTTTATCGAACACTAAAATACTACGAATCACAACATTTTGTCTAAATTAGATCTAAGTAGATCAGGTTTTTTGTCTATTACATAATATTTTGTAATACTTATCTGCAAAACATTTTAACTGAAACATTGAATATGTGAATCAAAAATCTCAAAATGTTTCCATATTTATGTATTAACATTTAAACTAATACTTATAGTACCTACTAACTGTATAAGCCCATTATACTATATATATATCGGTTTTACTGGTTTTAGTGTACCTCAGCTCATCGGCAAATCGCAATGGGCGTCGGTATACCTTGCTCTGTGGAATAATTCAACACAGACAAGCAACCACAAGTTGTGGTTTGGATTTATATTTTTAAAGTAGATAAAACTACTCTCTAAATTTTACTGATATCTTTAAAAATAATCCCTTAGATTTTCGTAAAAAATAATCGAGCAATTTTTGAGTATAAGGGATAAGCTAAAAACATATTTTTCATTGTATAGTTGAAGTGTCGAGTTATCATGCTACCTGTAGCTAAATAGTAAAAAAAAAGCTACAAACATATTTTTGGTTTTAAGATATAGTTTATTTAATCGAGGCCACGTAAATGCGTCGATTTGATGTATATTTTAACCTCATCTGCACGAGTAACCAGTAATAACCAGTTATATATTTACAAAAAAATATTAATTTCTAACAATTTATATTATTAGTATTATAGTCTATAACCAATGGTACCCTTTATGCTGACATCCGCACCTTTTTAAAATGAGAACTTTTCACAAATATTTGTCTACACCGAACAGTGTCTATTATAAAAAAAGATAGGTACTAATAATAAAATAAGAAATACATTTGTTTAACAAAATATGTGTTGTTCGCTGCCGAACGAGCCACTTTGTGTGGTTAGGTGTTTTAATATTTTCTTCAGTTTTAAAATGATGAATTTGGTGTGTGGGTGGGCTTAGGTTAGAATTGAACCACCTTTTTTTACTGAACTCGGCGCCACTGCGTACTGAAATTATTGTTGTAGAAATAGCTTGGCTTTATTTGTAGTGACTAGGTACTGGATAGATACTGTATCGGTAACCTAACCTAACCTCTCTCATAAAATTATTAACTGTATCGTCCACTAAAATCCATTGAAATTTGATATTTTACTAAAAAATGAAATGTATCTTTTATCATTGAGTCGCAGAAAATTGTAGTTAATTGTTTAAATCACACGAAACCAAAAAGTCAAACATATTCAGATAAGGGGATTTTGCTTTGTATTGTTTTGAATAATATAAGGTAATTATTAAAGTTGATAATTATTTGTTTTATACTCTTTTTTATAGTTGTACATAATAAAAGTTCATATAGGTACAAATAACAATAAATAATATAAATTTAAAATTTGTACCTTCTTAATTTTTCTATTGTATCATATTGCCAAAAAAAATAAAATTTTTTAAGAAAGCAAGATTTGTTACATCTCATATTTGTCCGAAATTAATATGGAAAAGAGATTTTGAGATTTTGGCATGTGTTTGTATTTTATACAGCGTTATATTTTTTTGTGTGAACACTTTTAAGTAAAAGGAGTCA